AAAAAAGAAAAAGAAAGTTTGAGAAATGCACAAATATTAAATTGAACATCCTGAATAGAGAACAGTTTCAAACAATGGATCGCTGAGGGTATTACATTCTGCTGTACCATATTTTCTAATAAATTAGTAGATGCAAAACTTCCGTCTAGAGAAGCAGGACCACTTTAGGTATAATCAGTTAAGAAATTATATTAAATACTGTGAATGCTGAACAGAAATACAGTAACCTGATTGAGATATTCATAGACAATAGCTCGGAAGAAAATTACTTATAGAGGTAAGAAAAGGATTATCTGTCCTTCAATCCATCCGTATTAAATTTAGTTGGGGAAAGGAAAATAAAAGCCAAAATGGAACTGACCAACGATGAATGGTTTAATATCTGTTCAACAAAGTCATCCACTACTAATTAAGATTTGCGGAGGCAGTTTGCAAAAGTATGGTTTAGAAATTTAAAACTTTTCCATTTTCAGATTTTTCGAAAAATGTCCCATTATATCTACATCCTTAGCAGATTTGATGATAGAGAAAGGATCAATAATCAACCTAAAGATCAACATTAACTTTAGCACTATATACTTGTGTAACTTCCCAATGGGATTGTGAGAAAATTATTACAAATGATTACAGATATTACTGGTGAGCTGTAAAAAATGCATAACCAGGAAATGACCAAATGATAAAGCTTTCAACAGCCACAGAATGGAGATAGATAGTGAAAGAAATATGTATTGCGTTAAGTTTGACCCAATCCTCAAAAGGTGGAGCCCAAAAAAGATGGAAAATCTACACAAGCCTGTTTTAATCATACCAATATTAATTTATGTGCATATAAATTATTCCATGTTTTATTTTCCCTTTGTAAATATGAGTTTTAATCTAATATTTCAAGACAAGCTAAATTACACAAAATCGGAATCTATTTAGAAATGTGATAACTTCTGAAAACTGTTTGTTCGATTTTATATATGAATTATTAAAGGAATTGTCAGGTTTTTTTTGGAAGGTTGCAGATGATCCAAATGCAGAGACCAAAGCTGAGGTAGTTTCTTAAAGTTTTAATATCAGAAGTTGGCAACAAAACCAAAAACCCAAAATAACAAAATACAGAGAACCAATACCAGACGTCAAGGGGAAAAAAAGAGAAGTAAACTATGAGGAATGAGCAACTAAAGAGGAGGAGTATATATGTCAAACAGAACAAAGAATGGATTAATCAACTGATTAGGAACAAATGTGGATAGAATAATCTTGAGAGGGCATCAGGGTGGAAACAAGAAAATACATAATAACTCAAATACAACCAAAAACAACTAGAATAACACAAAATGGAAGAAAAAAAACCCAAAGAAAAATAAAAAGGAAAACTTAAACAGAACCAAAACATGACAGCAATAGTTTGAATAGAAATATATGTCTCACCCCCACCCCTCTTCACAATTGTAGCTCTGGGTCTCCTGACATGCAACAAAACAATTTATGTTGGAGGATCCAACAGGATACAATGAAGGAAATATAAGGGGTATGAAAACTTCTGCACTGTGCATAACTTAGAAATCAAAGCATATTTTTTATAACCACTTTATATAACCACTTAATATATTCTTGTAATGAGAGAATATTCTGTATATATATATTCAGAATATTATTTATGATGTGTTTTTAATTTCAGAGCCAAAGCAAATAATCCAGCAAGAAGTTTTCTACTCCTCATTCAGATAGAGCTCTGCTCTGACTATTCAATGGACAGGAACATCTCTGCCTCCTGTCAACCATCCCATAGGGAGTAGCACTGTTATCATTTAACTTTAATGATGTTTTAGCTCTTCTCATTCTTCATAATTATTTGTTTTTATCTGATCATGCATGATGTTCCCTCAGCTCTGTTTTCTGTGCTTGTTTAATAAAGTCTGATCTACCCAGTGTTTATAATGTGGTTCTGTGGGTTTAAACTAAACATGAGACCGAAAATATGGACCCAGTCTGACGTGGATGTGGTTATCCAGTTTGGATGAGTTAGTATTATGATGCAAGAAGAGATCAAGAATACACCACAGATAAACATAACATCAAACCTTTTTTGGAAAGATTGATGAACCGTTTCAGGAGCTTTTTACATAACTAATGTTTTAAAACCAAGCAGGTTGGGTCATTCCCACTGTCCTCTCTGTTGCTGAGAAATAAACTCCTGGATGGATCAGAGTAATTTCTTCAGGCATTTCTGGGATTAGCAGAAAAGATTTTCTGACCAGGTTTGATACGGAATAAGATAAAGCAACTGGAAGGACTGGCTCCCATTGTTATTAGATTGCGTAATGTAATGTAATACGTCAGGCGCTCAGAACTTTGGACCCACAATTCAAGCAGACTCAGAGTTTTACCAAAATAAGAATTTAATTGCTCAGCACTTTCTCGTTCAAAAGCTGAGGCAGGTTCACTGGATCCTCTGTAGAGGTGGAAACTCAGGTTAGTGACTATGAAACTCAAATGGGCCATGATAATGAGCATGTAAGTCACTAAGCTGGTTTTGAGTTCAATGTGAGCCCAGAGGAAGGAGTTGAATCCAGAAGGATTCTGTCTCAACAGCATGCAGCAGGAGCCGCCCCCAGAGTTCCAGTGAGTGCCAACAGAAGCAAAGGAGTAGAAGTATCAGTAGGGAGGATCCGAAAAACCAGAGTCATAGCAGGAGCAGGTTTTCAGGCCAGAAGATCAGAGAGCCAAAGAGGTAACAGGATTTATGCCGAGGTCAGGAGACAGGTCCCAGGTCGTTTAGCAGGCAGAATCCAGGTATCAGTCTAAAACAGATCAGGCAAACAAAGCTGAACAGGGGTGTTAGGTTCAGAAAATGTAGGTTTGTGAAAAAAGAGAAATTGAGTCTACACAGGAAAGAGATTCAAGCAACTTCTGCAGGAGCTGAAAGAAAAAGCCCAACCCAACTTCAAGCTTTCTTTCTTCGAATCCTCTCCTGCAGCTGTCTTTGATTAACAGAACATAACACATGGTTACAAAACAGTATTTGTTCTGACAGAACAATTGATCAGTTCATAAAGACAGGATGCTCCATCAGAATGACAAGGCAGGATGGTCTCCTGACTGAATCACAAGACACAGTGGAGCATCCCCTTGCACAAATGTTTCATAAGCACACACAAATTTTATAATCATCATTGAATAAACCTAACATTTTCCTCCTGTTGTGCATATAAACATTAGCATGTAGCACTTCTAAAAAGATTTTTACTACACACATCATAAATGCATTGCTGATAGGGAATTCAGTAATCAAAGATCAATATGCAAAAAACAAAAATATGAAAAGGATTAAAATGTAAAACTTAAGCAAAAATGTATGATCCTACCCGATCCTTCCCGAGGAGGCGATCATTATCCCTG